ATCAGAATCTGAATCTCAGATGTACATCTGCATCGTGATTGAGAATCTGAAAATTTGAAATAGTGAATCAACATGATTTGAATCTGAATCCATCTTTGTGTGATCTTCTTAATGAGTGAGAGTCACAATGTATAGCTGAATAAATCAGGATATGAATAAATAATTTAAAGGTGAATTTGTATCATTGTGAATGTGAGTCTTTGTAAATTTGAATCAATAATCTTCATGTGAAATGGATTTAGAATCAAAGGCAGTTTCGTTCACAATTGCAAAGATTCAGGTTACCATTCACAATGCTTGAAATTCATACCTACAATCCTTCAGTCAGTCCTTCCTCGGGCTCGCTGCTTTTTCTGGAAAGTGTATGTGTCCTTTGGATTTAATACCACCTCTAATTTATTTTGTAAGCAACATTTTATCCACCATATAGGAATAAATAATTGTTGTAATCCATGCAAATGTTCCTTAAATGAGCCATTGTCTATCAACAGTCAACTCTTTTAGAAAGGTTCCTTAATTCATCACTGCTAACTTGCACTTCACAGCCTCGTAGTTCCTTGCATTTAGACTCGGTACTCTAGTTTTAGATTCAACTTCTTTACTCTCCATCTTAATGAATTTAATGGTTCTTCTTCTTCAATGGACCCTGTACTAGTCTAAGATAGCTTGTCCAACCATATATAAAAACACAAATGCAGTTTAACCCTTATTGTATGTGTCTCTAATGACCTGTTTAATGTCTTCCTTTACATCTCTGCTACTATTTGGGGCCTATTTACAACACCCACTGATGTATTCTTTCCCTTTATGTTTATGTCCATCCATGCAGATTCCACATCTTGATTTTCCAAGTCAATATCCTTTCTCACTATTGCATTGATTTCATCCTTTACTAACAATACTACCCGTACCTCATTTTCAATTTTGTCTGTCCTTCCTAAGTATTGAATGTCCATGGATATACAGTTCCCATCTTTGGTAGCCTTGCAACCAACATTAATCGCAACTATATCATAACTATTTATAGCTATTTGGGTTGTTAATTCCATTACCATATGGCTCTGAGACATAGACTGTCTACAGCGGACACCTTAGGACACTGGAGCAGTACCACTAATGCTGCCTGCACAGGATCCTGTGAACCCACTGGGAAGAAAGATGCACCAACACAAACATCCTTGACTAGGCCAACATCCCCAGCATCAATGCACTGACCACCCTTGATCGGCTATGATAGGCTGGGCACATCGTCCACACGACTGACCTGAGATTCCCCAAGTAGGTGCTCTACACCCAGCTTCAAAATGGTAGGCAAGCCCCAGATGGACAGAGGAAGTGCTTCAGGTGATACCCTCAAGGCCTTACTGGTGAAATATGGCATTCCCACAGACATTTTGGAATCACTGGCCCAAGACTGTCCAAAGTGGAGGAGGAGCTTCCAGGAAGGGGTCAAGTAATACAAAACAGTACAATATCCTTTTATTGTCACATGTACTCCATTGTAGGACTACAGAGAAAAACTTTTACAATGTCTGCCTCCTTGTGGTGACAACTTAGGTACAATTCTTTGATACAGGAAAGGAATAGAAGTAGTTTCTAAGGTTTTTGAGTAGATTTGTAGCTCAGGTTGTGGATGTTGTGTTTGGTTGGTTCACTGAGCTGATTTGTTGTTCCGCAGACGTTTCATTACCCTGCTGGGTAACATCATCAGTGCAGCCTCTGACGAAGCGCTGTTGTGTTTTCCTGCCTGTTATTTAAACTCTGGTGACCATTGAGCTGGATTACCTCACTTCTGGTTTACCTTCGCAGTGGAATATTTATAGGCTAGCTCAATATGTTTGTTAATGGCCTTCTTACTGGAGAACCAGGCCTCTAGGAATTCCCAAGCTTGTCTCTGCATGGCCTGTCCCAGAATCCTGGTGTTGTCCCAATCAAACTAGTGGTCTTCCTTATCCATGTGGATGGAGATGAAGGAGTATTGGTTGTGTCTTTTTGTTACTTGTTGATGTTCATGTATTCTTGTGGCTAATTTTCTTCCTGTCTGTCCAATGTAATTTTTGTCACAGTCTTTGCAGGGGATCTTATACATTACATTGGTCCTGTCCATAGTGGGTAACGGGTCTTTGGTTCGGGTTAGCAGTTGGCGTAGGGCTGATGTAGGTTTGTGTGCAACTCAGATGCCCAGTAGTCATAGGAGTCTTGTGGTTAGTTCAGATGTGTTCTTGATGTAAGGTAGCATGATGGAGGGAAGAGGAAAAGAACAAATAGCTTCCATTCCTTGATGTCATTGGTGGAACACAGGACCAACGGGGAATTACTAACACAGGAAAGCCACACACACTGACCAAGTACTGAATTTCAACAGCAACCACCCTAACACACACAAACAAAGTTGCGTGAGAACATTATTTAAACAGGCAACAACACACTGCAACAAAAAAGAAGAGTACCTCCTCCAAGTATTCATGGACAACAGATACCCGAAAAACTGAGTCAGAAGACTAATGACACCAGGAAGATACTGCATCCCCCGACATGCTCATTAGGCTACCTTACATCAAGAACACACGTGAACTAACTGCAAGACTCCTACGACTGCTGGGCATCAGAATAGCACACAAACCCACATCAATCCCATGCCAACTGCTAACCCGAAGCAAATTCCCGTTACTCACTATGGACAGGACCAACGTAATATACAAGATCCCCTGCAAAGACTGCGACAAACATTACAGTAGACAGACAGGAAGAAAATTAGCCAGAAGAGTACATAAACATCAACGAGCAACAAAAAGACACAACCAATACTCACTCATCTCCATCCACATGGAGATTGATTGGGACAACACCAGGATCCTAGGACAGGCCAAGCAGAGAAGAGCACGTGATTTCCTCGAGGCCTGGTTCTCCACTAAGAAGGCCATCAACAAACACAGAGCTAGACCGAAGAAAAACCAGAAGTGAGTAAACCCAGCACAACAGACACCAGAGTTTAACTAACAGGTGGGAAAACACAACAGTGCTTCATCGGAGGCTGCACTGATGATGTTACCCAGCAGGGTAATGAAATGACTGCAGAACAACGAACCAGCTCGGCAAACCAACCAACCACAACAACAGAAGTAGTTGCTTAATTACAGAGTTGAAAGTAAGTTAAAAATAAGAAAATATTAAAGGGGATAACATTACAGTGTTCTAAGGTAATTTCTAATAGAAGGATTGTCCCCTCACACTGGTCTCCATCCAGGATTCGCTGCCTGTGCCCCATGTGCTGCTGTGAGGCTTCTTCCCCACGCTGCTCCAGACTCACAGCCCATGTGCTGCTCCAGGGCTCACTGCTCATGGTGTTCTGGGGCTCACGGGGCATGCCTGCAGCCCCAGAGCACAAGGTCACGTTGCCCGTGCTGGCACCTCAAAACCTGCTGTTGGTAAAAAGCAGAAGCCAAGCAAAAACAGTGAAAGGAGCATGCTGCCACGCTGATGCTCCACCCACCCCTTCCTGCAACCACCTTCTGTCCCAAGTGTAACAGAGCTGTGGCAGCTGCATTGGTCTGTATAGCCTCCCACACATCAATTCCAAGAAGAAGAATTAGAACTGAAATGTGTGAAAGGACAATTTCAGTAAATCTACTCAAGGAACTCTGCATAAAGTCATTAATAGCTTTTCCAAACTTTTAGATGCAAACTATTTACAGAAACACAAATATCACTGCATAAATATTTGAAAAATATGAAGAGAAATAGGATTTGAATAGCTAACTCCCATTGAAGAGGCACACTGGAACCAACAGCTATGTGCTACTGATTTTCATTTTCATTGGCATGGTTAATTATAGGCTATTATTTTCCATCACCAGAAATATAGAAATACCAAGCATCATTCAAAGGAAAATATGACTAAGACTCAACGCTGAGAGTGGAAGAGTCATCCTCATCTGCGAGGGGTGCCAATGAATTAAATGAACGTGAATCATCTACACATTATGACACAACGCCTTGAGACTAGTCTTTCTAACCTTGTTGGTCACCTTAGCTTTATATTGCACTACAGTCTCATTTGTTTCTGGCCCTTTTCTTTCCAGACACTGACTTGTTTTTTCTTTTCTATCCTTGTTTCTCCCTCTGTCTCCATATTTAGGTTTCCATCCCCCTACCATTGTAGTTTCAACCTCCCCAGCAGTCTGGCAGGGCAAAGTTATGCGGTTTAGCAATGAGTTTGCTGTGCATAGGTTTGATAGCCTAACAGTTATTATTCAAGTGCCAGTGTGTCACATGTTGACAATGTGCACAAAGTTGTAAGTGGCCAGAACTACATGAAGGACACAAATACTTGGTATGAAGTTAGGTTATTAGCAACCAAATGATTATTCAGTGTCTGGCCTTCTGTGAAGTTTGCAGAGAGAAGGGAGGTGTTGTAAAGCTGCAGTCTGAGTGTGAGGAGTTGTGCCGCTTGGTCATTTGGCAAAGAGCAACCAACTGCTTATAGGGAGAGCTGCTCTGGCAGACTCCTCTGAGCTGAATTTTTAGACAGTTCAGGACAGCAATGCAATTGGTTTTGAGTTCACAAAGTTTCTTCACACTGGGCCAGCAGTGTATTAACCCACAAAGCAACAGTCTATTAGCCCACAATGAAATCAGCAGTGAAAGTGAGTACTCATTGGTCAAAGTTCACATAACTGTCCCAGCATTCCTGATGATAACCACCCCATTCCCGTACAAGACCCAAAACCACTTCCACTCTTGCAGTACCGAGATGGCAGGGAAGGTGGACTTCTGGTGGTGCCAAGATGGGAAAGAAGCACTTTTGTGCTTGGTACTGCTCCTGATTACTGTGCTTTTGTGTTGGCATGGAAAGCACCAATCGTAACTCCGGCTTATGTCCAATTTAATGCCAAGATGATGTCAGCTGACTATTGGAAAAGAAGTTCCAGTATTTTATCCCAGCAACAAATGTGGAACATGTTTAGACAGGTTTAAAATCAATACAAAATCATACTTTCTGGATGTTTTCAAATATTTAATTATTTAAACATGGTCCAGAAAGCTGCAAAATGTTTAACAGATGTTATTTGAAAAATATTTTTAAATACTACTCATTTCATGGCAGCTTTGAGTCTCTCTCCCACATTCTCCCAGTTGATAACATTCCAGATAGCTTTTAGATAGTCACCCCGCACATTCTTGTATTGCAGATAGTAGGCATGCTCCCACACATCAATTCCAAGAAGGGGAATTAGACCTGAAATGTTGAAAGGACGATCTCAGTAAATCTACTCAACGAACTCTGCATAAAGTCATTAATAGCTTTTCCAAAATTTTAGATGCAAACCATTTACAGAAACACAAATATCACTGCATAAATATTTGAAAAATATGAAGAGAAACAGGATTTGAATAGCTAACTCCCATTGAAGAGGCACACTGGAGCCAACAGCCACTGTAAGCTATGTGCTACTGATTTTCGTTTTCATTGGCATGGTTAATTATAAGCTATTATTTTCCATCACCAGAAATATGGAAATACCAAGCATCATTCAAAGGAAAAAATAACTAAGATAAATGATAAATGTCAGTGATAACGGACTGTTACTGGTTGGGACTTGTATCGGGAAGACAGAAATATCATCAATGCAATATAAAATTGATGGGGGCTTGTTGAAATATGATACCATTTCAGAAAGACACATTAGGGTGCTTTTTTGATAATTTGATCACTAATGCAACCAATATTGGGCTTGTCATCTCTGAATCTGAAACTTTTTAAAAGTTCTGAATCCTATCAATTTAAATATAAAAATGTGAGGGGGGGGCGGTAAGACCATGGTTTATAAAGATATAAAGATGCAGCTGAAATGTGAGAAGACAAGCAAAGGGTCTAACAAAATTTAGAGAGTGCTCACTAAATTTGAACACAGTCAACATTTACCAGCAAAGTTAAATCAAAGCAAATGATCAATGATTACGGCACACAGAACAATTATTTACTATTTCGATCACGTACGTTAATCCACGAGAAAGGGAAAATGAAGATAAAAACAAAATGACACGGCTAACCAGTTGTTCCTTGCAATGGGTCCTGATTGGAAGCAGTAGCAAGCTGTAGCCTTCCTGAATTCTTACTGTAGCCCAGCCATCCCCATCCTGAGCCTTGAACACCTACTGAGATTACAGACATTTTTTCCTTAAACTTCTCAAACGAACCAAAGTCCCGTTTGATGGTTTCCATTAACTCTCCTAAATAAAACAAACCAAAATATACTGTAGTTAGGATGCATTTAGCAACTCAATCAATATTAAAATATTCTCACTGAACAGCTTCAAGACCACACCCACCTGTTAAATAACATGAACATTTAGAATGTTTGGGGTATTACAAAAGTAGGCTTAAGAAATATATTTTGACCCGCTGCCTTACAGCAAGTCATAGAGATTACTAGAACTACTTATGCAAACAACAGAAATTAATCAAAAATGTATTTCTTCATCTTTGTGATTCTGAACAAGTTTTCACATTCATTTTACTCAAACCATTTAATTTCACCATCACAAAGTACAGCAAATGGCAGGTCATGTCTCTCTTGTTCTCACAATAGGCTGCTGCCACTGCCAGTCTAAATAAGATAATAAGAAATAGCAGCAGGTTGTTTTTTAAAATCAATCTATTCCGAGATGTAATAACACCTCTGGAGCGGGTAGGACTTGAACAGAGGTCTAGACATTTTTTAGGTTTGGATTTAGGTTGTATTGTGCCTAGGTAGGCCATTCAAGCCTTTTGTTGCTACCCAATTACACGCGAATCCCTTGTCAAAACTCTTCCCATCCATGTACCTATCCTAATGTTTTTTAAGTGTTGCTTTGTACCTGCCTCAACCACTTTCTCCGGCAGCCCATTCCATATATGCACCACTCTTTGAGTGAAGAAGTTGGTCCTCAGGTCCTTCTTAAAATTTTTTCCCTCTCACTTTAAACCTATGCCGTCTAGTTTTCAATTCCCCATCCCTAGGAAAAAGACTATATGCATTCATCCTATCTATGCCATCATGATTTTATACACCTCAGTAAGGTCATCCCTCATTCTCCTATGTTCCAAGGAATAAAGTCCTCTCCCTCTCCCTATAACTCAGGCCTACTATCCTTGTAAATCTTCTTTGCACACTTTCCAGTTTTACTAGTCTTTCCCATAACAGGGTGACCAAAACTGTACACAATACTCCGAGCCTCACCAATGACTTATACAACTATAACATAACATCCCAATTCCTATACTCAATGCTTCGGCTGATGAAGGCCAGCATGCTAAATGCCTTCTTCACCGCCCTGTCCACCTGCAACGCTGCTTGTAACGAACTATGTACTTGTACTGCTAGGTCCCTCTGTTCCACAACACTCCTCAGGACCTTACCATTTACTGTATAAGCCCTACTTTGGTTGGACTTTCCAAAATGCAACATCTTACTCTTATCTGTATTGACCTCCATTTGCCAATCCTTTGCCCACTTTTTGCTGTATTTGGTAGATTTGAACACAAACATTCCAAATCAAATTGCATCATTCAAACTCACCTGCAGGTTCTCCTCCACCATTAGGAGATAGATTTGTCCAGAAAATTGAATGATTAATATGACCCCCACCATTAAACCGCAGTGCTGGCTGCAGAGAAACTTGAGTTGTCACATCACCTGAAATATATGAAATAAATTCTTGCTATTTTGCAGAAATTATTCAATGTGTGGAATTATATTTAAAGTACAAGGACATTCTTTCCACAATAGGAAATTGTATTTTTCTTGCAATCAGACCTGCAACTCTTTCTGCCACATTCAAAATCTTGCATATGTACATTCAGTGATGTCACTGTTCCCGTAAGCCCTTTAAAATAAGATCTTATATTATTCCTTCTTCTACCTACAAAAAAGTGAAATCTCATTTGTCACGTATCTGCCCATTTTGTTTAACTGCCTATTGCCTTTTACTATCCTGCTTACATTTTCTGCATTTGTATGTTGTGTAATCTGCAGAATTAAAAATCACACCCTACATACCCAGACCCAAATCATTAATATACAATCAAAAGTGAAGTGATCCCAATTCTAAGAGTCATCACATCACATATTCATTCATTCTGTAAAACCACCATTTGCCATTACTCTCCGTTTCACCCCTCTCAGCCAATTCATAACTGTGGAGATTCTGCACCTTGATTCTACAGGTTTCAATTTTGCTAATAGATGTATATATGGTAATTCTTGAAACTCTTCCTGAAGTCTACATTTTTCCACATACAATATTCATTAAACCTCTCCATTCCCACAAAGTTAAACACTATTCACTATTAATAAATCCCTGCTGACTTTCACTAATGCATAATTTACCAATTGCTGATTAATTTTGTCATGGATTAAAGCCCTAAAGTTTGGTCAATTACATTATTTCACTCTTAGTTTATTAACATGCAGTTCATAGAATTGTTATACTCATATGGAGAGCACTAGCCTATCATGTTTGTGTCAGTTCTCCGCAGTAGCAATTTACTTAGCGTCATTCTCTTGCTTTCTCTCTGTAGCCCTGCATTCTTCCTTTGAAGATGATAATCCATTTTTTTCTTGAATGCCACAATTAAATTCTCCAACAAACTGCAGACAGTGCATTCCAGATTGCAACCACTTACTGTGAAATGTTTTTTGCCATTATTTGCTTTGCCAATTCCTCAAATGTGTCCACTGCTCCTTCCACTGATAGGAACATTTATTCCCTACGTAACTTATCCAGACCCCATTTGTACTCTATAACCCTTTTAACAAAGAGGAGGATGCTCTGTGTTTATTTAACCGGTCTCTTAACCAATGATTTACCTGCAATGATTTTTGTACATTTGTGAAGAAATCCATTCCAATTGTAGCAGGGAAGAAAGATTTTCGTAAATGTAACATTCAGTAAATATATACTCAATCCAAGAGTTTGTAGGTAGTAACATTCAATGTTGCCCTGCATTTGGGGCAGGGCTTGTTACAACAGTTTAAACAGGCCACTCAGGACAATGTGGGGTGTCCCCGAAGAGCAGTCCTGGGAACACAAACAGTTGGAGAAAAAAGACAGAGACATGTTAATTGCGTGTTAGGACTGCCAGTTTTTTTTTTTTAGGAAGGCTGCCGAAGAGTCAAGAGCAGTTAGATGGTTCTGTGCTTTTAGAATGAACTCAGGAAGAAGTTCTAGGGATGATTAAATTGTGAAGGTCAGTGGCTGCACTAGTGGGGTGGGGAGATTGTCATGAGGGGCTTGGAAGAAGCGAGCCAGCGTTATGATTCAAATGCAGCTGTGACAAAGGAGATTGAAAAGCCACAAGTAGTATTTGCCTAATGCAACTGAGCAAAATGAGAATTCAGGTAAAACCTAGATGCAGTTTTTAGTTTGAAGCTAGCAGTCAGTGAAAATTTGGAGCTGTGCCTGTGAATAATTATAGAGTATCATTTTCAGAGTCCAAAGAAGCATGGGCCCAAGAAAGGAGTGTGATTGACTAGAATGGGCCCTTCATAACAGAATGGCTCAAGAAAGAGATTTTAAAGGCCAGATCACCAAAAGTGAAGAATTTATAAGCCCCTGTGAAGTTTGATAAGATTTCATTACCCATTGTATCAGAAATGTCTGAAAGATTTGTTCAGAAATCCAGTCTTGATTAGTCTTAATTGCATTTGCTATATGATATGCACTGTAGGGTGTATGATTAGATCATACATACTTACCACATGTTGATTCTGGGTGCTAGAAATAAACTGCATACTAATTGTTATTCCACATTGTATTACTGTTCTTTTACTTGTATAGTAAAGTCTATTGTTGTTTCTTCAAAATTGTGGGAACTTCAGGCTTGAATAAAGCTTGAGGCTTTATTCTCATAGTAAGCCCTCTAGAAATCACTCTTTGTCAACTTCGTTTTAAAAGGTTATTAGTCCTAACACAATATGGTAATCTCACCTGGAATCAAAAAATTGGTGTTCTGGTCTGGGATTATAACAACTCAGATGCCAAAGCTCCTGCACCCCCTTCAGAATTTGTACCCTTTAATAATGTCTCTCTGCATGGTTCATACTGAAATGAATATCATATTTCTGAATTAAACTTCATCGGTCACTTATCCATCCATTCCACCAACCCATCTACACCCTTTTGGAGTTCTGCATCAGGGTATCCCAAACTGTGGGTCGTGAAGAAGAGTTTGGAGTTGCAAGCTCTAAGGCAACAATGGCTGCCAGGAAGTCTGGACTGATTTCTGACAGTCACAAAGCCTTTGCTCAACAGCTGAAATCAACACCCCAACAACTCACCCACCCCTCCCCCAAACTTTCATGATGGCATCACATGAATTCTAAGGTATTAAAACAGGGTCACATCCAGAAAAGGTTTGGAAAGCGCTGTTCTACACTATCCTACAGTTCACAATGCTTCAAACGTCCGGATCATCCTCAATTTTTGAAATTATGCCCTTTCATTATTATATATTAAGAAAAGGAAGGGTTCCAACCTTCACCCTTGGGAAACTCCACTACAAACTTTCCTCCAATCCAGAAACATTCAACAGGCAATAGCCATGCACACTCCTCCTCCACAGACATTGGCATCCATCATCTGCCAACTCACTGCAACCATTCTGGCTACTATTAACAGGCAGTGCTCTCTGAAAGTACAGAAGTGCCTTGCAGTGCATAACAGCAACAAGCATTGAAAGGCTGTGGCAGGGGCAATTTGCACACAGGTACCAGCACCTAGCTTGCATCCTGGACCAGGCTGCATCTTAGGGACACTCACTTGCTGTCTTAACATTTACCTGCATGCTCAAAGCATCACTGCCTTACTTTACCATGCAGTGCTAATTAGTGCAGTCACAGAAATAGGCAGGTGTCTTGCTACTAAACAGTCCTCAGTCTAGGCACACATCTTGCAGTACAGCAGTTTGCTGCATCAATCTCAAACCTGCATCATGCGACAGCAAAAACACTGTGCATGCAGCAAGCAGACAGCCTTGTGTTATAGTCTCAAGGGAGCAGTTCGCACTGACATTCACGGAGGCATCGGTCAGTCAGAGGTTATCAGCACCAAGTCAAGGGCAGCCTCCCAGACCAATCCAGGCAATCCTGGCCAGGGTCAGGAAGCAACTCGGAATTATATTGCTTGGGGGTCTGTGCCTCTGCAATCCAGGGAATGGATCAGGCTCATTCTGTTGGCACCTTAGTGGCATATCCAGGGTTAGGGTTAACATGGTTTAGGAGAACTTCTAGTCAAATCGGTTGAGGAGGTAACTCTGTCCTTTGGATCCATCAGAAAATGTGTGGGCGGGGGAATAATAGTGACTGTTGCTATGGGACTGAGCCTCAGCAGGTTAGTCTTCAGGACTGGAGGCTGCAGGATCTGGGCAAGGGCACATTACAAACTGTAAAGTGGGGAGCAGGATTTGTATTGGGAAATACAGTAAAGTATGGTTGGAAAGGGTGTAATGTGGGAGGGGATGTCATCCACCATCAGAAGCACCATAGCTTCAAGGGAAAGGAGGAGAGTGAATGACCGCACCTGATGTGAACATCTTATATGTCAGGGGTTGTATGGGAAAGGTAAGCAGGCGTAGGTGGATGTAGACAGGGTGGGTAGTATGAAGTTTACATCGTTAATAAGTTGGGTCATTAGGAAGAAAATATAGATATTTGGGGGCTCAGTCTGATGCCGGAACATCGTGGCAGAGGTATGCTCACTGTCACCTTCTATTATGCTGGAAAGTGAAAGCACACAATAGTGAAGAAAATGGCCATGACCATACTTGGTGGGATACCTGACTAGATCTGTGAGGAAGGGAGCTGCAACAAGGAATGACTGTGAGGACTTTCTAAGGGAGAGACACAAGTCACAGACCCATGCAGTGTATAGAACACAAGCACACAGTACTCCCAGGCCATCATAAGCATTAACCTTCTATATGTTGAATGGCTCTGGTACGACGACTACTGGACAACTCTGACAGCTACACCTTTGCGCAGAGGGAAACAAACATAATGGATGCTGAAGGAGGATAAACAAAGCTGTCATCACAACCCAATACCATGTATGTATGGATTGTTCCCCTGCTTGCAGATGGTGTAGTACTCGCAGTGCATACCTCCATCCATAGAGCCTCACCGGTGAGGATGAAGATGAGGTGATGCCAGATGGTGCTAAGATGTGTGAGAGAGACTCTCACAGAGACTCTCAAACATGTCAGTTAACGTCAGGAACATTTATGCACAAGTCCTGTTCACCTGTGCCAGCAAGGTGCCCTGAATAGTTTTCTTCTTTCTCTCTTTCCCATTACACCTCAGTATAATTCCTGGTTTTGCAGCTTGAGTGGAGGCAACCAGCTCGGAACTGAACCCATTGGCCCTGGATGTTTGGTGGAGCGGCCCTGGGGTGTTTGTGACAGGAAGGGCTGGAAATGTTGAGGATTTTGCAATTCTTCAGCTCTTTGGTTTGAACTTCCAAAGGTCATACAGGGATAGGGTGGAGAAAGAAATCTGACCACTTCCAGCAATGTTCTGAAAGGAAAGTGTACAGGGGACTGGGTTAGGCTCCATCTCTGGCTGGATGTCTCCAAGCACCACTCCGTCTCCTTGTGAGGATGGAGCACATGAACTGGGGTCAAGGCTCTCTGCCACCCTTTGTCACACATTTGATCCTGTGGATGAATTAATGAGGTAAAACGCAGGTATGCAAACTTCTGGAGTAGCCTGAGAGTGCTGGGCCTAGTTTGCCATGGCAGCTGCCAAACTATTCATGGAGGCAGCCAGATGTTCACAGAATTCATTGCACTTATGCAGTTTCTGAGTAATGAGGACCATTGTATTCCATATGCCTACCTGCTGCTATTGTAGCTATGTCCTGTGCATTTGGTTGAAATCCCTGATTGCCAACGCAACAGGATGTCAGCCTGAGGTTGAACAGGTGTCTGGTCTCCAGCAGTCCTCTCAATGCCAGTTGTCTGGACTGTTTCTCCCTCAGCCAGCTATGGAGCTGTTGTTGTCACATGCTCATCATGCTATCTATGTCTTTGGTTCACACGAAGGGGTCAGTTTCTGGACTTAGGGTGGATGAAGAGTCTTGATCCGAAATGTTGACTCTCCTGCTCCTCTAATGCTGCCTGATCTGCTGTGTTCCTCCAGCTCCACACTGTACTGACAGCATCTGGACTTGTAGGGTTTGCAGGAGGCAACCTTGCTAGTGTTTCTTCTGAAGCCTCCATTCTCAGAAGTTCATAATGGGGCTCATTGAGCCCTACAAAAAAAAGGCCCTTTGGCCCGACACATCAGCACCAGTCAGAAACAACCACGTAATTATTCTAATCCTTGTTTCCAGCACTTGGCCATTGCCTAATATGCCTTTATATTGCAAGTGCACACCTAAATAATGATAAGAGTTTCTGCCTCTATCACCTTTCTGACAGTGAGTTCCAGATTCGCACCACCTTTGGTTAAAAAAGCTTTTCCTCACATCTCTAAACCTTCTACCCCTTATCTTAAATCTATGCCTCCTTGTCATTGATACCTCCATCAAGGGGAAAGGTTTCTTTCTGTCTACCCCATCTACACTCCTCATAATTTTATATCTTGCAATCATGTCCCCTCCCAATATCTTCTACTCTAAGGAAAACAACCCCAATCGCTCTTCATGACTGAAACACTCCAGCCCAGGTGACATCTTGGCAAATGTCCACTGCACCCTGTCCAGTGCTATTACATTCACTCCTATAATGGATTCCAGAATTGCATACAATACTCTCGCTATGGCCGAATCAACATTTTATACAGTTCCAGCATTACCTCACTGCTCAAACTCTATGCCTTGACGAACAAAGGCAAGTATACCATACTTCTTAACCAATTTATCCACATGTCCTGATACCTTAAGGTACCGGTGTATATGCACACCAAGGCCCCAGTAATCCTTGATGCTTCCCAGGGTCCTACTGTTCATCATGTATTCCCTTGCTTTGTTTGTCCTGCCCAAGGGCATCACCTCACGTTTACTCGGATTTGAATTCCTT